TTCCAAAAGGCCTTACTATCTAGTACTGTCACCTTACATGTCAAGATTTCAGCACACAGTCAATCCACAACAAATGAGGCACATAGTTTATAAAGCCATCCCAAATCAGTGCTTTTATCAATTGGAATTAGTGATTTCTTTATTTTTTTTTTAATTTATTTGACAGGTAGAGTTTACAGACAGTGAGAGAGAAAAACAGAGAAAGGTCTTCCTTCCATTGGTTCACTCTCCAAATGGCCGCAACGGCCAGAGCTATGCCAATCTGAAGCCAGGAGCCAGGAGCTTCCTCCTGGTCTCTCATGCGCATGCAGGGGCCCAAGGACTTGGGCCACCCTCCACTGCTATCCCAGGCCACAGCAAAGAGCTGTGCCGGCCTGCAGCACAATGAACCCGGTTTCCTGAAACAGAGAGTGGGAATGCGGGGACAAGGATGCAAAGAATGGAGCCAAGACAAATCCTGATCAAGGCTCATTTATTCAACAAGTCCAGTCGTATTTCAACATGATCAGTTGTACACAAGAAGGCACACAGAGGATTTACATACCTAAAATTCTTTTGGGGTTACAAAGAGTTCCCATAGAGTTATCAATCATAGATTACAAGGGTATAATAAAACACACAGGTGATAAATGCAGGTTTCAGGTGTGGCTGATTATCTATATCATTTCTTGTGAGAAGTCTAGCAGTGAGATACGGTTCTTCCTGCCTCTTCCTGGAATCTCCTTGGCCTAATTGTCTGTGCTGGGATATCTCCATCCATATGTTTAAGTGTAAACAAAAGGGGAGACTGCCTGCGGCTGCCCACAGAGAGCTAGACTGGAAGAGGAGCAACCAGGACTAGCACCTGGTGCCCATATGGGATGCTGGTGCCACAGGCGGAGGATTAACCTAGTACACCACAACACCAGCCCCAGTGATTTCTTAATTAAAGAACCCTTAAATTTAACTAAATTTGACTGCCCAATGTGATAAAAAATATGTATTTAACTGCAATTAAAACTGAGCACTGTAATAAAAAATGAAATTCTATCAATATTTTGGCAGGTGTTGTAAAGCATCCCATATCAGAGTGTCTGTTCAAGTCCCACCCCCTCTGCTTCTGATCCAGCTTCCTGCTGATGCATTGTGGGAGACAGCAGGCAATGGCTCAGATGCTTAGGTGCTGGCCACCCACATGGGAGACCCAGATGGAGCTCTAGGTTCCTGTTCAGCTTGGCCCAGCCTGGTCCAGCCCAGACATCACAGGCTTTTAGGAAGTGATTCAGCAGATGGACCATTATTTCTAAATGGATATTAATCATAATAGAAAGTATCAGCCAAAAAAGGAAAGCATTAGGTTCAGGGGATGAGATAGTTAAAATATTTTTGTTCAGAAAACTTGTGCTTTCCAAATAGATAAGGGCACTGTTGTGAATCAGGTACACGAGTGATAGCATGACCACCCGTTAGTCATGACAACAGGCACAACTGGATGACTTTGAAGAAAAGGCCAGTCACAACCATGGCTCTTTTACATTCCCTGCTCAACTCCAGGAAGATACAGTCAAATTACTCACGAGACTCTCAAAACTATCGAGATGATAGCCCCCTGTGTGAAGTCACTAAGAAATGCAGATGAAAATGACTGTTAGTCATCAGCGGAGCCTTCGTACCTCATTGAGAGCCCAAGTGGGAACAGGGTCTCTGAATCATGGCGTATTGTCAAACACCAGGGATGGAGCACTGCATAATGACTGAGTGATCAGTAACGCACAGGCTTCCTGCAGCAGGAGAAGGCATCCAGGGCACACACCATGCAATATATTGGATTCCAGCACATTTTCTGAGAACAAAGTCCCATTTAGCTCTTTGTGAGGTATTTGAAATGCGGTATCAAAAAGGAAAGCAGTGTGGGTTGAACTATGCCCCCAACTGTTCTTTCCCACATTTGATTGTATCGCTGACACTGTCTAGTGCTAATTCCAAGTACTTACAGGCTGACTTGATATATTACTAATCAATAAGTATAGAGTAGTGCAGCCCTTACAGAGGGGTTATGAACAGGACAGAGCACCCGTTGGCAAATAACCTTTTTTCACAGCCAGAGCTGAATCAAGTCTTTACCTGTGTGCCTGCCTGCCTGCATTATAAGGGCCTCTGGAGCATGATTTCTCCCTGTCCATTTCCAAATTTATTGATCCAGGGTGTGTATTAGTGTTAGCCAAGATTATCTTTCCTGTTTTTCTTGTGTGTACACAGCTAAATGGTAATGTACTAGAGCCAGCTACCACTGGGCCACAGATGATAGCATCTCTCCCCAACTCTGTATTCAGTATCTTCACTATATATTCCAGGCAACCTCAAAGCAGTTACATTTTAAGTGTTTTGCAAGGTTTCCTGAGCATGATGAACTTTGTAGGTTGTAGTAATAGAAAGGCAGGGGGCACCCCAAGTTTTGGAATTGAAAGGATATTATTTAAATACATTGGGATGATTCAATTTTTTCATAATGTTTGTAACTCTTTACTGTTTTCCAATGCTTTTTAATGTTTATAGTGTTAGGGAAAGGAATATAACGTTTATAGCATTATGGACAGGTACATAAATGAAGGATCCCAGTCTGGCCCTCCTTTGTCTATTCTGCACCTTGTGAGGAGCCTCACATGTGGGAGTGACAGGTAACCAACTCTCTCATTTTGCCTGAGACTGAGAGGTTTTGCAGGACCCAGGAATTCAATGCAGAAACTAGTCCAGTCCCATGAAAACAAGGATTGATTACTATTTGGATTAAACAAAGAGGTTCACGCAGGGAGGCCCAACACAGCCATCGCAGCATGTTTCACAGAAAATTCTAGGGTTTTGAAAACTGAAAGCACGGTCTAGACAGGTAGTAGCCAGTGTGGACGACATAGCAACCCCGATTGGGCAACTTCATTCCACCCAACAGACTTCTCCTCTCCAGGCACTATGATGGATGCTGGGCACATAGCAATACACATGCAAATATATTTATAAAATAAAATAAAGAATATTCAAATTACTTCTTTTTGCACTACTGCAACATGTTCCTTTCTGATCTCCCTGTGGTTTTGGCCCATTCCTATCTGTTCACTATATTACAACAAAATGATAAAGCCCATGTCTTGCACTAAAACCAATTGCAACTGATTTCTTCTTATCCCAGTCTCCCGTCTGCTCTCATCCCTTCCTGAGACCTATCACAGCGCACATGCCAAGACAGCCAGCACTCCATCCCGGGAAGGTGGTCACCCACCCTTCCACAAACAGCAGCTGCTCCACAAATGCTGTCAGGGACCACCAGCTTTGGAAAATGGATTGCTTAGCTAAACTGGATCCCTAAAGTAGTAAAATAAGCCCTCTCTTCCACACACACATACCCTGGGTTCATGTTATGTCACTTTCCCCCTCACTCACGGTCATACAAATATTACTTTATTTCCTTAAACGATCCAGCTTCCTGCCTGCTTCACGGCCGTGACATATCCCCCTGGTTCTATATGTCATGCTCACTATGGGAAACCTCTTTTTTTCTAAGATCTTTCCTGTACATTCCCCAGTCTAGTCAAGGACCTTATCCTAGGTCTCAGTCCTGGATTTCAGGGCAAATTTTGCTATTTCCTTTTTGACACAATTTGCCCTTTGATAAGTGATGATGTACTGGCAGCACCTGAACTGTCTCGCAGAACTGGCAGGTTTAGTGAGAACATCGGATTACCCACTGCTCTCTCTCTATTCAGCCCTGCAATAGAAACTATTTAAGAGAGAAGACGAAGGGACACATGCAGGAAGGAAAAGGAAGCAAGAAAGCTTCTATCTAACATGGGGAAGTTCTCTAGGCTAGAAGTTTTATTTATTCTACCTTAACATGGTTATTTTGCAAATTCCCACTTGCTGTATGGCAGGCCTTATTTTACAACATTATTTTTCCTCTCTGTTAAAGAGAAAAGGGATATTTACATTGGAAGGATTTTGTTCCAGGATGTCCTAAGTTTATGGTATAGCAAAAAATAACAAAATCTAGGAAAACGCAAGCAAGGTTTAAAGACTATGCAAATTCTTTTTCTCCATGTTCTTCCTCCTTCCCTACCCTTTTGATTTTTACAGCACCTTGAGCCCAACCTTGTGGCACAGTGGGTTAAACCACCACTTGCAATACTGGCATTCCATACAGGTGCCAGTTCCTGGCTCCTGCCTTCTGCCTGGCCAAGCTCCCACCACTGCAGCCATGTGGGGACTGAACCAGAGGATGCAAGATTGCCCTGCGTCTCCCTCTCTCTCAATCTGCCTTTCAAATAATTAAATCTGTAAAAAAAAAAAAAAATTATACAGCATCTAATATCAGAAAAAGATTAAGTTCAGCTCATTCTCAGCAAGATAGAAAAATTATTAAAGCATAAAGTTATGTTTTTGCAAAGTGTGCAGCAGCTTTAACATTTGAAAATGCAAGCCGCCTTAAATTTAAATATTCAGTTGGCATTTCAATTTGGTAGATGCCGCTAGATAATAAAATCATTCAATTGAGCCCTATAAATATAAAAACAAAGTTCTATGCTTATGAAACAATTACCAAACAGTGAGTGCAACCGATTTCTCCTTATCCCTGTCTCCCGTCTGCTCTCATCCCTTCCTGAGACCTATCACTGCACACATGCCAAGACAGCCAGCACTCCATCCCGGGAAGGTGGTCACCCACCCTTCCACAAACAGCAGCTGCGCCACAAATGCTGTCAGGGACCACCAGCTTTGGAAAATGGATTGCTTAGCCAAACTGGACACAGAGTATTTTGAATTGGAGGGACATTGCTTTTTAAACTCTAGCAAAATAAATCTTTTATATCCACGGCGCAGCCTACAGCAAAGGAGCCAAGCCCAACACTGCCAACAAGCAGGAAACAGTTTCCGTGCTATGCCGACAACGCCTGGTTCCTTACCCAGCAACCCACGGGAGTCACACCCAACCGTCCCAGGCCTCGGCTAACGTGCTAAGTGACGTAAAGCGCCGTTGCCGCATCGGTTGAGATGTCGTAAAAGGATGGCTTTCCCTTGGTCTTCCTGGGTTAGGCACAGAAGGTAGAGCTGCGGCGAGCGTGTTCCACGTCTCCCTGAGATCCAGCCACTTCCATGGGCCGCCGCCCTGCTCGCTGTTACCGGTACTGTAAGAATAAGCCGTACCCCAAGTCGCGCTTCTGCCGAGGTGTGCCCGATGCCAAGATCCGGATCTTTGACCTGGGCCGGAAGAAGGCGAAGGTGGACGAGTTCCCTCTGTGTGGCCACATGGTGTCGGCTGAGTACGAACAGCTCTCCTCGGAAGCCCTGGAGGCCGCCCGCATCTGTGCCAACAAATACATGGTGAAGAGCTGCGGCAAAGACGGCTTTCACATCCGGGTGCGGCTGCACCCCTTCCACGTCATCCGCATCAACAAGATGCTGTCCTGTGCCGGCGCTGACAGGCTGCAGACCGGGATGCGAGGTGCCTTTGGAAAGCCTCAAGGGACCGTGGCCAGGGTCCACATTGGGCAAGTCATCATGTCCATCCGCACCAAGCTGCAGAACAAGGAGCACGTGATCGAAGCCTTACGCAGGGCCAAGTTCAAGTTCCCTGGACGCCAGAAGATCCACATCTCCAAGAAGTGGGGCTTCACCAAGTTCAATGCTGACGAATTCGAAGACAAGGTGGCCGCCAAACGCCTCATCCCTGACGGCTGTGGCGTCAAGTACATCCCCGACCACGGCCCCTTGGCCAAGTGGCGAGCTTTGTACTCCTGAGGACTCTGGGAGCCCTGCTTCCTGGGACCATGCCCGTCTCTGCTGTGCCATAGATTGTGTTTACCGGCAAAAATTTAAACATTTCTTAATTTTAAAATACTTCACATGTTTATCTGGTTTTTAAAATGTAGCCCACTAGGAAAGTTTTATAGTGATACAGAAAGTTATAATGAAAAATGATAGTTTCCTCACTTAAGTAAGAAATATTAGAACACGTTTATAGAAAAAGCTACTGTTATTCTATTCCATATACGTTGGGAGAATATAGGGAGATATGTCAAAAGTGTTGTTTAAAATCTTAATTTACACAGTTACCATTCAATAAAACAGAAATTCCAAGTTTGTATGAAAAATCCTTATTTATAGAAAAGTAAATAGAGATGAAGTAATGGTAGGCATTAGGGGTGTTTCAGCTTCTGTCACTTGGAAGCTCAGTGGCCTTATTTCTTGTACGTTGTTTTTAGATTTCGCCATCTCCTCTGATTAGCAGCTTTAAGGCAGTTGGGTATCAATGAAAAAGGTTTTTCCAGATAAGTTTTACATTATCTCACACTCAGGAGACAACTGCCCAATCTTTTCTTTATTAAAGAAAGGTCATGGGTGACAACTGAGTTTATATTGGACAGATCTGGGCCCCAGTAGAATCAACTAGCGGCTCTCAGTGCTTTAAAAGGTCTCCAGGGAGTTTGCATTCTGTTGGTGCTTGCCTTAGGTTAGTTCATTGATCACATGGGTGTTGTTTTTTGTTTTACTCTAGAGCCTACATAAAGTAAATTTCCTGGCTCTGTATTACATTTGAAAATACTGGTTTTTAAACTGATTTAGTTTTCTGAATCTTAATCCTGCAAACAATGTTTCCAGTTTTCTTATACTAACCATTCAAAGTCAAGGCACTTAACAAAAGGAACAACAATAGTACTAAACATCATAGGAACATAATATTGTTTAGTCTACATTTACATAAATTCCTTTGTCTACCCTGAAGTGTTGTATTTGGTTTGACATATCCTTCAGCCCCCTGCTGTTATTAGAAATTTCCTATAAAGCTAGCTTGCAATTTTGAGCTGTAATGTTTTTCAGGTAACACACTTGAGGATAATCCTCAATGAATACCAAATGTATCGAAAGTGCTCTTCCGCCCAAGCAGCACTTTCCTTGTGTTTTGCTTGAAGCTTGAAAACTCTTGAAGTTTTTAGGAAATTAAGAAATGTGCAGTTAGTAAATAAAGGTGAACCACATTATTTGATTCCTGTCGTTTTTGTTTTGCCCCACCATGGATAATAAAACTAAAAAATTGAATTTTAAAAACCCAAAGAGCAGAATAAAACAGAAGCAATTCCTTGGCTATGTATTAGAACAATCATGGTCCAGTTTGGAAAATATTCTCCATCCCATCATTCACCTGCACTGTGGCATAGTGGGTAAAGCCTCCACCCGCAGTGCCGGCATCCCATATGGGCACTGGTTCGAGTCCTGGCTGCTCCACTTCCGATCCAGCTCTCTGCTATGGCCTGGGATAGCAGTAGAGGATGGCCCAAGTGCTTGGGCCCCTGCACCCACATGGGAGACCCAGAAGAAGCTCCTGGCTCCTGGTTTCAGACTGGCCCAGCTCTGGCCATTGCAGCAACTTGGGGAGTGAACCAGCAGATGGAAGACCTCTTTCTCTCTCTGGCTTTCAAATAAATAGCTTTTTAAAAAATTCTATCTAACATTGATAAATGCATATACTCACTTGTTTTTCTTAAAGAAATGTATTACCTTATGTTCCCTGTGGCATGTTTATGTTTTTTTCAACATTTTCCTAGTTTAGCATTTTTCTAGTTACTGACAAAAACATGGTAAAACAATTGGACTGAAGGATAATTTAGTTATATCTTTGCAGAGCTCTTTGCTATTTAAAAATTTCCATTCAAAATGGAAAATTTAATTTGGGAACAGAGGTTTATCTATGCATTTATGCGCTGTGGTCATAAACAGAACTGTTTGCCTATTTGAAATAAAGTACAAGTACAGATAACTAAATTCAAGCAAATATTGCCCAATAAAATATTGTGATTTAGTTGAGGGAGTCTACAGGTTTTTATGGAAAACTTAATGACTGCATAAGAAGATGAAAAACTTGGAGAATTATTTACTGTATCAATTACTTCCAAGTTCATTCCACAAATTGTGATTAACCCACCATTTCTACTTGCTCAAAATATTGAATTGTACTAAGCATATTTAGCTTCCAACATTTCCTTTTTATAAAAATATTCACCAGCTCTCCCATGAATTGGCTGTAACTAAAATTGGCAAGCATTTGATTTCTGCCTTAGCAACCTTGCACTGCCTAATATGACATAAATAAAGCAAGGCTTTCTAGTTCTTAGAATGTCACTATTGACCTAAAGATTGAGGTAAAACATGATTTAATTACAATCTTCTATCTTTACATTAATGAAACCATTTTTGATATGTTTGATTTTTAGATTAATGAATTCACAAAAATACATAAATTATTTTCTAAAAGCAAATAATATAGCCAATAATGTGTAAAATTGATCCCAAATGAAGTTGTACTTTCAGTACAATTCAAAGTGAGGTAATTGTCACAGTAACAGTGGACAGGAAGGGAAGCTCTGGTGTTAGCATCACTGGATTTGAATCTCAACTTTTTCACTTGGGCAAATTATTTAATATAACCTTTGCTTAATTGTCTAATCCATAAAATGGGGTTAAGACACTTTAATTATAGGGTTGGTTTAGGATTAAGTGAGAATACATTGGGAAAGCTTGGCTTATGTACATGGTGTGAACGTAAAATTGTTAACTTACAACAGTTAATACTGATGTTATTAGATTTGCTTCTGCCTCCCTGCTTCTCAAGTTCTAATTTTTGGTGCTTTATTTTTTTTAATGATTTATGACTTTAATATTCTGTGTTGCAACCGAAGTTCCCATTACTGAATTCCAGACTTAATTGGACTTGATATTGTTTCAAGTTTGTTGGATTTTTTAATTTTTAGTTTTATAATTTTTATTTGATTTGATCTTCAAAGTTGAGGGGAAGGAGAGAACCTTAAGAGTTAAGTACAGCCTTTAATTGATTCTAGATCCTGACTCCTCTTTTGAGATCCTGATAAAATCATTTACTAAAGTCCGTTCCACACTGTCAGGTGTATAGTCCACTCTCCTAGCTGTGGTGTCTTCTCATTCTGCTGCTATGCAGTGCAAAACCCTGAGAAATGGCAAGGCCATTCGTTCAGTACCTTATTTTGGTTGGGATTCCAGTCATCAATGGGTTCTGCTTTTTTTTCCTTGCATAAACATATGTTCAGAATAATTCTCTCTATATTAAGACATTAGTGAGACACGCTTTTTCATACCTTTTTTTTTAGATATGCTTATAAGCAGTTGGAGGGGTTTGAAGAGGTATGTTCCATGAATGATTGTTATATAATGCACCATTTCCCTTCCTCCTTAAAGTATGGAATTATGCTTTGTCCAAATATTTTATCCACTATGTATTTCATATAGGCACTTTTATTAACAACAGTTGTGCATATTTATAGGGTGCAGTGTGACATTTCAATACATGTATGCAGTGTGTACTGATCAAATAAGGACAATTAACACTTTACTTTCCCTGATACTCCCATGGAATGTGGAGTTCCTCTCTTCCTTTTCTCAGAAAACATATAACATTTTATTGTGAACTATACTCAGCCCACGGTGCTGCATAATAATAGAAATGTATTCCTTCTACCTAGCTGTGGTTTACTACCTGCCAGTCAACCTTCTTTTACCTCCCCAACCCCTATATTCAATATAATTCTGTGTTCAGAATGAGAGGGAGAACATACCCCCTATTTTTCTTCCCTTTCTTCTTCCCTCCCTTTCTTTGAGTTTTTGAGATAATATTTTAAGTTTACATTGCAGTAAAAAGGCTTGCTGCTTCACTAAGTAAAAAGACCCTACTTTAGTGGGAATATAGACAATGGTTATGAAAAGTAATTGACTAGAAAAAGGCCCATTTCACTCAGATAAAATAAATTCTAAAGTAAACATATCTTTAAAACTATAGTTGTATAACATTCTTAACCATTTGTTTCACAAAGTTGTAAAACAAAGTTTTACAAAACCATGTTTGCAGCAATACTGATACACAGAAGTTTTATTTGTCTTTGGTTATTTCACTTAAATAATTTCCACCAGTTCCATATATTTTACTGCAAATGACTTCTTTCTATTTTTTATGACTGAATAATATTCTATTGGACATATTCTACATTTCTGTATCCATTCATCTGTTGATGGACACCTTGGCTAAATTCCATGTCATCATTATTATAAGTAGTGCTTCAATAAATAGCATGATGCAGGTATCACCTTGATATCATAATTTCTTTGTTGGGGGGAGAGGTGATATACCCAGTAGGGGATTACTGGGTCATATGGCAATTCTATTTAGAACTTTAAAAAAATTTCCATACTGTTTTTCCATTGTGGCTGTACATTCTTATATTTCCAAAAATTTATGAGTTCCCCTTTCTTCACATCCTTGCCAGCATTTATTAATTTCTGTCTTCTTGATACTACTCAATCTAACTGGGGTGAAGGGATAACTCATTATGGTTTTGATTTTCATTTTCCTGATAGGTAATATTGAGCATTCTTAATATATTTGTTGGCCATTTGTATTTCTTCTTTAGATAAATGTCTATTCAAATCCTTGTCCATTTCTTAACTGGAATGGTTATGTGTCGAGTTTGAGTTCCTTTATAAAATCGGATTATTAATATTTCTTCAGACAGCTTACAAGTATTTTCTCCCTTTCTGTTGGTTGTCTCTTCGATCTGTTCAATTTTTCCTTTGTTCTGTAAAGCTTCTTAGTTTGACATCTCATTTGCTTAGCATTGCTTTTATTGCCTGTACTTTTGGTGTTTTAGCCAGAAAGCCTTTGCCAACACCAATGTCTTGAAGTGTTTCTCTGTTTTCTCCTAGCAATTTCACAATTTCATATCTTATATTTAGAACTTTGACTCATATTAAGTTGGCTTTTGTAAATGGTGAGAGGTAGAGATCTAATTTTATATATATGTATATATATATATACACACACACACACACACACAGTTTTGCCAGAACAACTGTTGAAGAGACTGTCCCTTCTCCAATGAATGAATGTTGTTGGCATCTTTGTCAAAAATCAGTTGTTGGTGTGGATGGTGGGCTAATCTATGGGTTATATATTCTGTTCTGTTAATCTACATGTCAGTTTTTATGCCAGTACCATGCTGTTGTGGGGTCTATAGCTTTGCACTATGCTTTAAGTCAAGTATTGTGATGTTGCCCCTAGCTTTACTTATTTATATCTCAGAATTTCTTTGCTATTCTTTCTTTTGGGGTTTCGTTTGAATCTTGGAATTTTTTCTGTAAAGAATGGCATATGGTATCTTGCTGGGCTTGTACTGAATCACTAGATTGCTTTGGTTAGCATGGACATTTTAACAATGTTACTTCTTTCAGTCCATGAACATGGAATTTTGTTGTGTCCTTTATGATTTCTTTCATTGGTGTTTTTATAATTTCATTCATAGAAATCTTTCACTGCTTTGGTTAAATTTAGTCCTAAATATATTTTTGTAGCTATTGTGCATGGAATTGCTTTGTTGGTCTTTAAAATATTAATGGAAAATGCATATTCTGAAAAAAAAAACCTTAGCAAGGATTTCAAAAATTTTTGGACCAAAATATGCTTACCTTCTGATTCAATTTTCCACAAAAGTTTTGGGGTACCCTGTTTTAACCAGATATCTTTAATTTAAAAAAATCCAATTCTGGAAAATCACATGGGAATACTATCATCATTTTTATATGCTATGTTCTCCTAAATTTAGGACTCGATTATGTAATTTTTGGCTCCTTTTCCCTGTATTTTGTTTAGTATATTTTTATTGAATCTCGTTAGATATTGAGATACATTTTTTTAAAGATTTAGTTGTTTGAAAGTCAGAGTTGCACAGAGAGAGGAGAGGCAAAGAGAGAGAGAGGTCAGTCTTCCATCTGATGGTTCACTCCCCAATTGGCCACAATGGCCAGAGCTGCACAATCCGAAGCCAGGAGCTGAGAGACTCCTCTGGTTTTCCCACGTGGGTGCAGGGTCCCAAAGATTTGGGCCATCTTCTACTGCTTTCCCAGGCCATAGCAGAGAGCTGGATTGGAAGTGGGGCAGCCAGGTCTCAAATCGGCACCCATATGGGA